AGAATTCTATACTAAGTGAAAATATCTTTCAATATAAAGCATTAAGTTATATTTTTCAAAGACAAAAGCTGAGAAAATGTATTTCCAGCAAACCTGCAATAGAAATGTTCAAGAATATTACTTACGTGAAAAAATTAAAAATGCAAATGGAATATATTTACAAAATGAAAAAGAATGAAAATCATCATCATCACATCATCATTACAGTAATACAACATTTATTTCAAATTAAGAAGCCAGTAAATTAACATTAAGAGAATAAAAACAAAATACCCTTTCTCACCATTTGATATAATTCAATAATTATTCAAAGTTAAACAATAACAAAATTATGAAAAACAAATATTTTCTTAACTCATAAAACATTATCTATGGAAAACCAGGAGACATTACATTAAATGGAAGGCTGAATGAAAAATTATTTTTCCCAAAGTCCATGCATATTCCCATTCAGCAGTGTAGTAGATATCTAAGCAACGTAACATGACTGAAAAAGAAATAAAAGGCTAACAAATTGGAAATAAAAGGTAAAATTTTCTTCACAGATAAGATGATCACATTTATAGAATATCTGAAACATCCAAAAAGGTACTTGAACTAATGAGCTAATATAGCATTCTCTTAGAATACAATGTTTCAATCTCAATTTTAATTCTATGTAATTGACTAAAGAAGTTGAGCTTTTTTGTGAGGTTTATTGGTTATTTATTTTCTTTTATGACTTCCAATATGTTGTTTATTTGTGAGATTATTTTTATTCTAATGAGTTTCAAGATTTTTCATATATTCTGCAGATGTCTATCTTATGTCATTTTCCAAATAGTAAAAAGCAGGGTTTTAATCTTGATATAGAGTAATAAAAATATTTTTGTATGGTTGGTAGTTTTAAGTTCTATATAAAAATATTCCGCTTACTTTAATTTAGCTAAGGATTCCACTTTTGTTTTCTTCTAGAGTTTTCATAGTTTTCACTTATGGTACATTTCAAGTTAATATTTTTACTGTTTTTGAAACAAATATTACTATACATAAAATCTTCAGTTGCTAAAATACCATTTGTCTTTCTCCATGAATTTTTGTACATTGTTATTTTTAAAACTCAATTAAATTTTTACATGTGGTCTTATACTGGATCTTTATTTTTCTAGAGTAGCACTATGTCTTGAAATTATAGAGCGTAACCCATAAGGCATGTAATTTCAAATATATTACTGCAAAAATTTGAGTAAACAATACAGCATTATATGAACATAAAATTAAATACATCATAAATAACAGGAGTCCAAAGGACCCACTCCCAATGATCTAACCGCCTTCTTCTAGAGCCTAATCAACCTCCTAAATAATTTCCTCCACTTCTCAATAGTGTCACAGGCTGGGGACAAAACTTTCAACATCTTTGCAGTACATTTAAGAACCAACATATAGGAAAGTGTATATTTATTTAGTATATTTAACTGAGTCTTTTAAAATTTCTATGACAATGCTGTGTACTTCTCAAAGCAAGATTCTTATAGTATTTTTACTTTTATAAGAATTTAGTCTATCATAAAATGTATCACCTTTTTAAACTTTAAGCTTCACTTTCTAATTTTTGAATGCTTGTATAGATTTTAAGTCACTCAGTTGGAGCTATGGATATAACAAGTTGCTGGTTGGAGAAAGCTGAATCTATAAAGAAAAGGGCTGTCTCATGAGCAGTTTAGCCACAGAAGTGACTCTGCTTTTGCTAGATATATGGCCCAAAGTAAGGAGAGAAGGAATGGTGCATACTTCGTGGCCAAAAGTAGTAGAAAGTGATAAGGACTACACCTGAGCTCAACTGCATGAACTTCACTTCACTGTGATTGACCTGGCTGCCATTATTGCTGATGTCAAAGCTGTCAATAGCATAGATCAATATTAATTTAAAATATGACTTTCTCTTCTGGGAAGATTAGACATTTACCTGATAGCAGGTTGATTACAATAGATCCATTTTATCCTGGAGACATCCATGGTTTGTTATCATTGAAAGATACACTTTCGCTGGATATGGATTTGCTTGCTCTGCATTTTCAGCCATTGATAGTATCCTGGTAGAAGGCAATATGTCGATTTTGTCAAAGAACTAAAATCACATAAAATGAAATGTAGTTTATGGCTTAGCCCAATAAAATTATTGGTTTATTATATAGTTTATTATAAATAATTAAGTAGCTAGCTCCTGTGGTGGATTGGTGAAATAGTTTATTGAAGCCTATTTACATTACTAAATACAGATAATGTTCTGTAATATTGGATGCTTTCCCAAATTAGGCACATTCCTGATCCATAGCTCAATGCTCCCCCACCCCACAGGCACAATTTATTTACCCAATCTCTTCTTACTGCTAAACACAGCACCCCATTTGAAGCATTGGTGCTTTCCATTCCTGGAAGGATGAGAAAATACAATTGATGACTATATCACTACAATAGTAGAGCCAATAAAATATAAAATAGGAAAAAATAAGAGAATTTTAAAAAAGATAGAATTAGGGAACCACTTCAGAGGGATTAACATAAGAATAATAGAAAATGAAGGCAATGAAATAAATTTTTCTTTTTAACAAATGAAGTAGATGAGTTTTCAAATTGGGAGAGCAGACTTAAATACATCAAAATTTATGAAGATAGATCAATAATACATTAAATTACAAAACAAAAAATGTTTAGATAAGATAAGTCCTTAATAAGTTACAGAAAATGGAAAAGATTAGTTTCTCACAATAGATCAGTAATCAGGATATCTACAGAAATCTAAAAAGTACCTTAAAGTACACAAAAAAAGTAGATAATTCTCTCTCTCTCTCTCTCTCTCTCTCTCTCTCTCTCTCTCTCTCTCTCTCACACACACACACACACACACATACACATAAACACACACACAGAGACTCATGCACACACACTAATTTTTCAATTTAGTCACATTTAAAGTAGATTTTGCCTTACGGATGTAAAGGAAGAAATCTCTCATATAACTGGATCGTGTGGAATGAGAAAGGAAAAGGGGACTAGGTCTTGGTAACCTCATTTGTACTTCTCAGTCATTCTAAATATGAATTATTAAGATCTAGTACTTTAAATTTCAGTTAAATGAGTCAAAATTAGTATCCTTAAAGTCGTCGTGTTTTCTGTTCATTATGATTAAAGTAATTATAAATTATGTAAGAAATTTGTTTTATGGCAAGTCAGACTGAGTTAATGTTATGATGCATCTTTTAAAACAATAATAAAATATAAAGTTAATAGAATATGAGGAATCTGAGAAATGATAGCCTGATTTAGTAACAATATGCTAAGATATAAGGTAATGAAATGTGTTTCATCTTTATGAGCAAGCACTTTAAATGAGAGGTCTGGGAAAAATATTAATTTATGTTATGCTTATTCTATGTGAGGCACTGGGATTTTTTTTTACAAGGAATACCTTAGTAAACTCTCAAAAATGAAATTATAAGGTAGGTAATATTAAAATTATTACAATATTAATATACAGAAATATTGAAAAAAATGGAAATCCATTGCTATAAAATTATTGCTGTTATAAAATGACAACCCATATATTCTACAGTGGATATATATTTTTAGATCTACTGAGTTCATGGCTAGAGCCAAAATGATGTAGCAATTGAAAAGCATATTTTAAGTCACTTACCTGAGATAGATATCAAATAGACTTTTTGTCAAAAACAACAAAGCTATCTTGTGAGGCAGTGCTGTGGAAATATTCATCGTCTGAATTCCTTTTTCTTAAAATTTTAAAGCATGTAAACTAGAAAATGATTTTACAGGAGTTGGAGAAATAGAATGAGGACATCTTCCAATTGAGTAATCTAAATTTATTTAGTATTTGTTTTGAATGACCAGACAATGACACATTCATTCATGTCATTGGTCACACTGAGAACTTAAAGTTACTCATTATGAGAGCTAAGCCCCTTGAAACCCGACAAGAAGCAACCAAGTACTTCAGACATTCTATTTTTTTATATTATTGTATCTAACTAATACAAAAAATCTAAGGTATTGATATTATCTGATTTTCAGATAAAAAACCTGAAGCAATTTATAGATGCCCATAAAACTGTAGAACTGTTATTTGAGTACAGGATTTTTTCAAGTAATTTTAGTCTTACTCATAGTTGTGGCCAAAGAAGCTGTGCACAATCCCATTAATATAATAAATCATTTAATAACAATAATGACTTTATGTAAAGAAGAGTCCTGATAGAATTTTAGTTCCTATGTGGCAATTAATATAGGCAAAGAAATACAAAATCTAATATGTATATATATTATATATTATATATATTTTATATATATAATATATAATATATATAATATATATATAATATAATATATTATATATAATATATATAATATATATATATATTATATATATAATATATATATATATTCATATAAAGTAGGTTACACTCACATGCGAGTACATATGTAGGCTCACCACAAATCATTTATTTTATTTTTGGAAACATTAAATATATAAGTATATATATATACATTAAGTATATATATATACATTAAGCACATGTACAGTCCAGATAATAAGCCTTATTACTGGATATATATATTTTTAAATAATTTACATCTTAAAAACATCTCATACCTTGCATTTTTCAAAAGGTTGCATTCTTGGATTGGGAACACTTTGACCAGTTACGGGTGATGATCATTTCATCCATTCTGAAATGACCAAAGTCTAGTTTTATAAAAGAAAAAAAATCTGTAATTTCAGAAATTGAAGTGTAATTTTCTAGCTACTTTAGATATCTTCTAAGAGGAAGAAATGCTGTGAATCATCAGCCTCATTATAGTAATGTTAGGGCTTGGTTTAGCTGCAGCAATATTTATTCTCTGTGTCTGGTTACATCTTTAATAATTACACAGATCTGGCAATGCTGCTTATATAACCATTGACCATAAATTATAGTTAGACCAACAGCTTTGGAATCTGATGTCGATGCAGCTGATGCTTTTAATTTACTGATCCTGTTATCATTAGTGTAAAGTAGGTGGTAAGGTGAAAAGAGGGTCAAGGCTAAATCCTTCAGATGTTGAAATTCTGCCCATAACCATAACAGACAATTATCCTTCATAAATGATTACTGGCAGTGTTTTAACAAGAGTGACATCTGCTGGCCCACATATGCAGTTAGAGTAATTCATATTTATATAATCTTTTGCAATAGCCTAGCTTTATTCCTGCAGATGGCAAATCAGATGAGTTTATAATTGCAAAGGACAATATTTAGCATCAGAGAGTTCTTATTCAGTGATTTTCAGTTTCTAGTTAAAACAAAATGACTACATTTCTTTGCTTTTTGTTGTGACATTTTATTTGCAATTTCTTAATGTGTTTTGCCCTAGAAATGCTAGATCTATCTTGTTTTTGAGCACAGGTTCCTTATGGTTTACCGAGTTTATAAAATTTTAATTTTAGCAGTTGATTGTGGTATTCCAAGACTATTTAAATTGAATGAAAATATTAAAAAGCAAAAACATCATTCATGTTTATTTGTTGTGCATTATAATTTTAATCACCATACCAAAAGAACAATTGTGCATTATACTCTTGGCTAGATGTTCCGTTTATCGTGTGTATGTATGCACACATTTGTGTGTGTATCTGCATGCTTGTACATGGGTGAGAGAGACAGAGACCAAAAAAGATTATTTTCATGTTACTTGAATCAATATTTCATCTCAGCTGAGTCAGAATGCAAATGAAGTGACTTGTGTTTTGAACACTTATATACTTCGTACCTCTATAAGTGGTAGCTTTTTTGTGGGTAATCATGACTAAATTATATCTCGTTAAAACAATGAATCTTTGTGGACATACTTTTTACACTTACAGTGATTATTGTAGAATTATATTATTAATTAACAAAAATCTTTTAAATGTATAGATGTAATATCATCTTATGAGAAGAATATACAAGTATGTACTTAATAAGAAAAAATATTATCTATATTAAAAGCAAAAATTAGTACTGTTTATATCTTGGGGTAAATAATTTAACATGTGTTCTTATGTAAAATTATGAAGCAAATATTTTTTTCTTAGAGCATTATAGTTGTACATAATAGTTGGTTCATTTTAAGAAAATCATACATGCAAGGAATTTGATATGCTCCATTTTAGTCACCATTTCTGCCACCTTTACTTCCTCTCCTCTTTCTCCCTATTTGCCTTCCTTTACTGATCTTCCTTTCACTTCTTTGTTTATTTACTTATTTTGTGGTGCTGGAGATTGAAACCAGAGTCTCTTGTATGAGAGACTAGCACTCTATCAGCTGAACTATATCCCCAGTATGTATTTATTTTTGATTGCTGCTTTCTACATATACATGGAATTCCCTGTGATATATTTATGTGTGCTCATAATGTGATTTTGTTTAATCATTTTGCATTTCCTTCCCTTTCCTTTTCCTCCTTCTTCCCTATGATCTCTTCTTTCTATTACACTAATATTTCGTATATATTTCTGATAGCTGATCCCCAATTTTTATCCCTTAGTCTGTCTAGCTTCCACATATGAGAAAAAAAAAAAAAAACAAAAAAAAACAACAACAACAAAAAAAAAACATTTGATCCTTGATTTTCTGGAGTCTCTTGTATTTCACTTAGCATGATGTTCTCTTTTTCTGTCCATATCCCAGAAAATGCCATAATTTCACTCTTTACAGCAGAATAAAACTCCATTGCATATATAATATCACAGTTTCTTAATCCATTCTTAATATTGACGGGCATTTGGGCTGGTCCCATAACTTGGCTATTGTAAATCGTACTGCTACAAACATTGATGTGCCTGTATCACTATAGTATGGTAATTATAGTTCTTTTGGATAAATACCAAAGAGTGGGATAGTTGGGTTATATGGCGTTTCCATACCTAGGTTTTTGAGAAACCTACATACTGCTTTCCAGAATGTACCTTTTTCCCTATGTCCTCATCAGCATATATTATTATTTGTATTCTTGATAATTGCCATTCTGACTGGGTTGAAATGAAATGCATTTCCTTGATAGCTAGAGATGCTGAACATATTCATTTTTGTATATTTAAGGCCTTTTAATTTTATGCATCCCATATTGATTCTTGGTTTTATTATTTATTTATTTTTTTGATTTTTTTGGTGTGTAAGGGGGTTACCAGGGATTGAACTCAGGGGCACTCAACCACTGAGCTACATCCCAGCCCTATTTTGTATTTTATTTAGAGACAGGGTCTCACTGAGTTGCTTAGCACCTCACTTTTGCTGAGGCTGCCTTTGAACTCCTAATTCTCCTGCCTCAGCCTCCCCAGCAGCTGGGATTACAGGTGTGTGTCAGTGCACCTGGCTTGATTTTATTTCTTGAGCATTAGGGTTCATATAAAGGAAACTGGTGTCCGAGACAATGTGAAAAAGTGCTGCCCCTGTTTTCTTCCAGCAATTGAAAGGTTGCTGGTCTAATTCCTAGGACTTTGAACCAGTTTGATTTGGTGCAGGTTTAGCATTACGGATGTAATTCATTCTTCTACATATGAATATCCAGTTTTCCTAGCACCATTTATTAAAAAGATTTTTATCCAAAATAGATTGTAGATTTGGGGGAACTTATATGATAATGATAGACACATAATATTCTGCAATTTATTTTCACCCATATTCTAGCCAGATGAATAAGCATCAATATTATTTTTCTGTTACACAACAATATTGTTGAAATATAATTGAAAAATTTGTATTATTAATTAATTGAGATAATGTTTCATTCTCCATTTTATTATGTTAAATTTTTTATATGTGTTGCTTAAGTCTAAATTTCATGCAAGTCTAAATTTTTATAAGAGAACGTGTTTTGCACCCTACAAATATGTTTAGATGTTGATAGTCATTAATCAATTTCATATCTTCATACATTTTCTCATTTATCCTGCAAAATAATATTGTAAGGTGAGTAAATACAGCTATAAAAAATAAAAGTATGTAATGTTTGGCTACATGATATATTCAGATTAAACAGCATAATGAGAGAATTAAAAAGTCAAACCAAGTAATTCTGTCTCTAAATCTAAAAAATCATGTGGGAAACTTGCTTTTTAATATAACTTAGTCAAATATATGTAAATAGAACAAAAAGTCAATCAAATGACTTTTGAAAAATTATTCTTCAATAAAATAAATATTGTATTCTACACCAGAAAAAATCATCATCTCATAGGAGTCCATATTTTATAATATACTCTTAATATCATCAGAGAGTGACTAATTATTTGTTTTATTTTTTTAAATGAAACTAACCTAGTGCTGGGGATGTGGCTGAAGCGGTAGCGCGCTCGCCTGGCATGCACGGGGCGCTGGGTTCGATCCTCAGCACCACATAAAAATAAAATCAACATGTTGTGTCCACTGAAAACTAAAAACTAAAAAATAAAAATTAAAAAATTCTCTCTCTCTTTCTCTCTCTCTCTCTCTCTCTTTAAAAAAATAATTTAAAAAATAAAATAAATGAAACTAACCTCCAGCAATTGCAGGACATTTATCTATAAGCGAACATTAGCTTGAATTAAAAATTCAAGAATTAAAGAAAGCCTTTAATTTTCATATTAAAAACAAATATCATAATAGAAACAGATAATATGATTCAGACTTGCCACACTAGCTGTAGTTAAATTTATTTTTTCTCTAGGTAATTAAGTGGAAAAATGTCTAAAAGTAAAGGAGCTACAATTAACAATGAGATTTTAGTCCTTTGAGAACAATTCAAATTAATTTCGTGTTAGTTGGGGGGGGGTAAAAAAAAATGACTGTCATTTCCTTCAGGTTATGTCACCAGGGAGAATTTAGGCAACCTGTCCTTCATTTACAGGGGGAATAAAGACCATCATATTATGTGTGAAAGGCATGAAAGTGGTCAGCTTCAGACATTTTTTAAACTTATTATAATTTTCCTCATTATAAAATACCTAATTTATGGGCTAGGGAAGTATTTCAGTGATAGAGTGCTTGCCTAGTGTGCTCGAGGCTCTGCATTCAATCCTCAGTATTGCAGAAAGTAAACAAATTAATAAAGTACTTGATTTATTTCCCTTCCAATTAAAATAACTGAGGCAATACTCTGTATGCATTTCAACCCAAAATTTTAAAACTAATGTGGTCATAGTTTAATGCTAACCATTGTGATATATATTGATATTCAGATTTAAAACATAAAGTGGCATATTGACTGGAAATTTTTGAAATTTTTTAAAATAAGAAAATTCATGATACTATCACAACTCTTTTTTTCTTACAACTTCTGTAGATAATTGTCTGGGACATGCTCAGCTTGATTAAGCTCATTCAAGTGAAGGTAGAAGGATGCAGCCTTCTTCAAAGATTTTCTTTAATCTAAATTTTAAACCATTCTTTTTGAAGCTTTTGCACTATTTTCTATTAACATCTTTTCTTATTGCTTCTTCCTACATTTGTTGTAAATCTGGTTAGCAACCTATGTTTGCTATCTTTTACACATAAAAAAGGATTCTACTTTAAACATATTTTCAATCTTATACTGACCAAACAGTTTGGGTCTTGCTTTCCATATTTTTATTGAGACAAATCCATAGCTGGAACTCTGCCTCATTCTTTCAAAGTCTTAGAAACTATTTTATTAATATTTTTTTTCCTTTTAATTCATTGAATATATGATCAATAATGTATTTACTTGCACATCGGAAAAGAAAACAATATTTTATTCTGGAATGGTCTCAGGTTTGGTTAATTTACTGATATAGGTCAGGACTTTTAATGCCATTCTTAACCTTCATGACATCTATTAAATTATGAATTTATGAGATCTGTGCTCTTAAATAGAAGACCATTTATAGTAGAACAGATGCTGAAGATATGTGATGTAGCCCTTCCTGGTAACAATAACTTAAACTTCTGTGCTTGGTTCCAAAGTCGGAGAACTTTGCATACATAATTCTTTATTTTCAGAAGTGGTTCATATAATGCCATCATAATAACTCATTAGTCCCATTATAACACAATTTAAACTCCAAACAATATGATTTTCTGATGCTCACCTATTCACATTTGAAAAGAGAAATATTTAAAAATTGTTTTTCTCATGCATGTTACAAGCATGTATCAGAGTTCATTTATAAGCAAAACAAAAGTATCTCTGATTGATTATGGTAGACAAGAAGTTCATTAAAAGGACATTGGAGCTGGGTGCAGTGGCACATGCCTATAATCCCAGTGGCTCTGGAGGCTGAGGTAGGAGGATTGAGGGTTTAAAGGCAATCTCCGCCATGGCAAGGCACTGAGCAACTCAGAGAGACCCTTTCTCTAAATAAAATTCAAAGTAGGGTTGGGGATGTGGTTTAGTGGTCGAGTGCCTATGAGTTCAATCCTTGGTACCTAAAAAAAGGGGGGGGGCATTAGACAGCTGATGGGACTTTACAGTTTACTGAATGGTGAAGGACTTTAAAGGAATCATAAAAACAAGGATGGAGAGATTAACACCCAGAACTGTTCCATGTGGTAATGTATAGTGGCCTTGCAAGTACTAACTACTCCTGTGAACCCCTTTGACACTGTTAGTAGGTAAGCCTGAATATTGCAGCTAGCATGGACACTTGCCTTCACTGCCTTTGGACTCCATCTTGACTTAACTCTCAGTTTTATCAGACAAGCTACTTATATTTTTGATTCTTTGATTCCATGATCATGTAAGGGTGAGTCAGATGAGTATTAGTGGGTCCTGGGTAAATGTGCCAAGGTAGCCTAGAAAAATGAGTATTTACTATTTTTATAATTTAGAGTGGAAAACAACTCTTTCCCAACAACATTTAAAAAAAGGGGGATTCTCATTTGAGCAGCAAATTCAAATGTTGTAATTTTACATAGAATAACATATGTTTACTACAGGCTACAGAATAAAATTACAGATCATTCTAGATAAGAAAATCTTGGATAGCAGCTGCCAAACAAGAGCACCTGATTCAAATAGAACTTTGTTATAAATGAGAAAATAAATTGTATTTGGTTAAATCACTAAGATTCTGATCATTGTTACTGCAATATTTGTTGCAGTATCTGTTACTACAGCCTAATTTAGCATATGCTGGTTAATAGGGTAACACATTTTAGCATAACAAAAATATGTGAAAATTGTTTTGTGATTAGGTAATTGGTAATGAGAATGCAGATATAACAGTCTAGATAGAATGAGGTCCAGTGGAAAATGTAGGGGTTAAATAGTTGGCAAAATTATCAGTCATTTTCTTTTACAAAGCAGATCATGTGCACAGATCATCTAACCTATAGTTAGATAATCAGAAAAGTAGAGTTCCCCAGGGCAAGTTTCATGAATCTCCAGTCTTACAAAATATTTGAATAAAGTTTCTACATAGTAAATTATATATGCTGTATTAATAAACTATTTTGCTGAGTTCTGAATGCTATAGTTTCCTCTTAAAGATTTACAGTGAACATTTACTTATTCAACGCTTTGAAATTTTCACCATTACAAAATGCAAAACAAGTTAGCCAGGAGTATCTCAGCATTAAAAATATAATTTAAATTAATATCTCAACTAGGTCATCTTCTGCAGATGATACTTTAAGAAATACTATATTGATGAGGAATTTCTAATGTATAAGGGAAAGGGTAAGGATTGCTGTTGCTCTCACCAACATGATGTTACATGATTAGTATCTCTGACCCTTGAATCTTCTGTATCCAATGTCCCAGAGAAATTTAGGGAAAAAAAGTAAATTTTAAGTGGACTGTATGGTTGAATGGCACAAAATAAGTGATATAAAACATTTACTCTCTCTCTCTCTTTTAAAATAAGTAAATTTTACTTTGCCAGATGATATTCAGAGCAGTCTTTCTGGGGACTCTAGAGAGATTTCCTATACACACATTTGTGGACAGGCAGAATAGATGTTCAGAGGCGGCAAAGTTCTGAATTAAACACAGAAAAGGAATTGATGTTACTGTTCTACTACTTGGTAATCAAATATAGTATTCATGACTCATGTAAAAAGGTGCTCTCAGATAATGACCTCAAATACTTTCCATAAATATATATTTTTATTTCCCTTTGTAATTAAGAAAACATAACCACCAGAGCTTAGAGGAAATCTAAGAAAAAGTCAAAGTTAAAAATACTAATGGGAAATTGTATCACAGAATTAATTTAAAATAGGACTGAGCTCTTTTCTCCTGGAGGCAAGAAAAATAGGAATCCTGGCTTAAAATATACTTTCCATTTCCAACATCAAAGTTCCAACTTTTAAACCATAAAAAGTTACTTTTTTTGGTTAAATATCCTATTTCTATCATATATTTTAAAATATTAAAATATTATTCATGTAACCGACTGAAATTGCTAAGGTACTTGTTAACATTTTACCCTAGTGATTTCTAATGGGAAATTTAAATACCTACTGAGACAAGAAAAAGAAATATTTAGGGAACTGTGCATGGCAGTTGATTGATTACAGTGGCCAAAGCTTGGAGTTCTAAATTAAGAGACACATATGGGTTCAACCATTCATCTGAACAAAGAGAAAAAATAATCTATAGAAAAGAAAACATTGTAATTCAACAAAATGGCCACAGGTAGTTAAACCAATAATTTGAAAGTATAATGCTGGCAAATGCAGTTGCTTTCTCTTAAGATTAAAGCGATTCAATAGCTCTACAACTTATTCTTAAAGCTTGGAGATTTTTAACTTTAAAAAATAAAAAGCTTAGTTTTCTTTAGTATCATGAATCAACAGAACTTTGGGATCTTATACCTGTGAATTTTAACAGACTGGGGGAAGGAAAGCATGGAAGAAAGGTAGAGTTTGAGGTGATCTGAAATCATTTATTCTTTCATTCAAAAATATGTATTGTGACTCCTTATGCAAGGCACTGTTTTAATGAAGAGGGAATGTACTGGAGAACTAGACTGAGAAATTAAGGAAAACACTGGGCAGTGATACCTGCTTCTATAGAATCACGATGAAGGAAAATAGTGAGAAGATGGTTTCTGAGGTGAGACCTGAATGAAAAGAAAAAGGCAGTCAGACAGATAAGGAGAAAGAATGTGATCAGAAGAAATGTCAACTACTTCAAAAGTCTTTAGTGGACAGGATCAGATAACATTAGATTTTAGAATGTAGGCAAGGTATGTGATTTTCTTAGACTGAAAGTCATTGTACGAAGCAGAGGAATTGAATAATGTGAGTCTCTTAAGACTGCTGCTGTTGTGCTTTGAGAATGTTGAGGGACATGAATTGATGTAGACACCACTGTGATCATCAAGTGGCCTACACTCTGCCACAATTTTGTGCAACATGGTAAAAGGTGGTTGTACCATGCACATCAAAGTCTTCCAAAATTTTTGTTAGCTATTATTAAAGAAGTTTATGCACACGTGGGAGAAGTTACACAGTGTGCACTATGTCAAAGAAATCATATTTGGGATACAATTGAATCTTGGTTGAATCTGCCTCCAAATTACAGGTTTCTCCACCCTCCTCATTACTAGAGCACCACTCCTTCAGATTTTGTTAAGACTTAATCACCAAATGCGCACAGATGGATTTACCTGGTTGAGTACAAGTTGTAGAGAATACAAAGATAAATATCTTCAACTTGTTGATTAAAATAGAATGTCTAATTAAGAACTAGATTTTCTTTTCTTTTACCCACTTTGGCTCTGTGATGTAAATTTTATGTGTTGACTTTATTGGGCAATGAAGTACTCAGATATTTGAATGAAAAATTTTTCTGGGTGTGTTGTGAGGATTATTTTGCAATGATATTTACTTTTAAATTAGTAGATTGAGTAAAGTAGATTTCTTTTGAGTTCCTAATGAATTTAAGCCTCATCCAATCAGTTCATGGTCAAAGTACAACAAAAGGTTTATCTTCCAAATATGAAAATTCCTGTTGTTTGACAGCCTCTAGGACATACATTCTACCTGGTTTTATGGGAGCTTCTGGCCTTTGTATTCTGGGACACTGATTATGAAAATTTAAAATTGGCAGCTTCTGTAATTATGTGAGGCAGTTCTTAATAATAAATGTCTGTGTCCATCCATATTAATATATTGTATGGTTCTATTTCTCTGTAGTGCCCTGGTGATACAGCTTTCAAAAAAACAATCATATATGTATATCTGATCAAAGAATTCTATTAAATGGGAGGATTGATGAAGAACAGAGTTTCACAAATCTACACAGGAAATTTATTCAGAAATTCTGATAAGGTTACAACTATGTGTGCACATTTCTCCCTCTAGGGATAATTTGACAGAATTTTCTGTTAGGTATTTATGTCCCTAAAGGTACAAAAGATCTTTTTAGGATCATGTGTATTTCCATGTGACAGGGAAACGTGTGTTCATTTCATATATTATATATTTGTGAAGAATAGAGAATACACTAAAATAAAATAAGCAAAAATGAAACTGACCTTTATGAAAGATCATTGAAATTTATAAAATTCTAGTTTCATCAGTCATAAAAATTAAAGGTGCCCAATTTGCTAGTATTAGGAATTCAAAAGGATAAAATAATGAGCAAGTAGTCTAAAATTGGAGAAAATGGGCAAGTTTAAGAAACTTGAAAGTTAAAAGAGAGATGAAAAGAAAAAAGAAAATCTGAATAGATTTATGAGAATTAATAAATTTAATTGTGCATTAAAACTCATCCTTAAAAATCCAGCACAAATAGCATCACTGGAGAATACTTTCAAATATTTAAAGAATAAATAATATGAGTGTCATATAAATTCTTGCAGAAAAAAGAGTGTACATTTTCTAATTAATTTTATAAGGTCAAGATTATCCAAAAAAATTAAACAAAGTATTTATAAGAAAAGGAAACTTCACACTGATATATTTCATGAATATAAATGCAAATATTTTAAGCAAAAATTTAACCAATTGAATCCAGGAATTATATTTAGTAAAAATGATAAATTATTATAATTGGAATGGGTTTATTATATGGTTCTTTTACTACTCAAAAGTATAATTCACCTTAGTAATAAACTGAAAAAAGGCACATTATATGCTAATCTCAGTATATGAACATAAAATTAAAAAAAAAAAAAACTTAACATTCATGCTTGATAGAACTTTCAAGAATGTAATGAAAGAGATTTCCTTGACAATCTGAAGAGTGTCTCTAAATAACCTGCAGTTAATACAATAACTTGAAAGTGAAAGAATCATTTACTCCTTAAATGACAAACAAGACAGTGATATCTGCTCTTATTACTTCCATATATAATGCAGGTTTGAGTACAAAAGGTTAAGAAAAAGAAATTAAACTTTGCAACAAAATGAGATCTATTTTCCTTTTTTTGTAATTTTGGACAATATAACTATTTAAGTAAAATAATAAACATTCCATGAAAATCTGTAATTAATAAATTAATTTAGCATATTTTAAAAATGAAGTCAAGATAAAAAAATTGACAGTATTTTCAGGCTCTAGTATTGAACTAAATAATTGAATAAAATTTTAATGATTTCCATTTGCAATAGCATCAGAATATAATATACATATGAATAAATTTTAAATTTAACAAAATAATTTAACACGTGCATACTAAATGTTATAAAGCATTATTAAAAGGATTATTGAATATCCTTTAAAATTTGATATATTATACCTCAAGGATTAGAAGTCTCAATGTTGTTAAGATGACTGTTCTTCCAAGTTGAACTATAGATAAAATAAAAAGCAATGAAAAACTTTGAGAAAGGTATGAAGAACATGTGCTGGGGGATTGAAGAAATCTCGTCAGATTTTCTTTTTCTTCTCATGTTTGTTTTGACAACTTTTTAATAAATGATGCTAGCTAAATGAGAATTTACATAAATAAAAATAAAACTGGACCCCTGTCTCTCATGAGATACAAAAACCACCTCAAAATTTATCAAAAATTGTATCCCACATCTGGTTATTTAGCCAAAAGGAATAAAATCAGCATGATGGAGAGACATCTGTATTTACATGTGTATTGCAGTAATATCCAAGAGTTAAAATCAACCTAACTATCATCAGTTGATGAATAAAAAAAGTGAAACATATAAACAATGGGATACTATTTAGACTTAAGAAGAATGAAATGCAGTTATTCCTGAAAACATGGATGAAACTGGAGGTCAATAGGTTAAATTAAATAAGTCAGGCACAGAAAAACAGGTACTACATGATACCACTATTGTGTAATCTAAAAAACAATCTCTTGAGAGTTGAGAGTATAATTGTTGTTATTAGAGACTGGAGAGTAGTGTAGAGGAAGTATGGAGAAAGTTTGGTCAGAATACTTTCAAATATTTAAAGTTACATTTAGGTAGAAGGAAGATGTTATTAACTAGGAAGCACTGTATATTTATAAATGGTAGAGGAATTTACTATAAGAGATGATAATTTCTTGAGGTGTTCAGTATGTTTAATGTGATTTAAACTTTATACATCATATAAATATATTAAAACAGGAAATTGTATTCCATTCATATGTCTTTTTTTTAGTTATTATATATCAGATAAATTTTTAAAAAGCTAAATAAAATATATATTCTTCCTAAAAATTAATAATACATACACCTCAACAGAAAGGGAAAACATTGAACACAGAGATAATTATATGTGATTATTCAATATACACAAATAAATGCTCAATATCTCTAGTCATCAGAAAACTTCAAACTAAATTTATAGTGAGACATGATGTTACATACAGTAAAATGACCAAAACTAAAATGCCTTACAGTACCAAAAGTTAATGAAGATGTAAAGCAAAATAATCATGACTATCACCAGTGAGAGTGTGAAATGTTATAACCACTTGGAAAAGCATTTGATAATATCTTAAAACATATATTTATTATAACTTAGCCATTAATCTCCCCAAAGAAAACTGAGGAGACATGCAAATATATACCAAAACAAATACTTGTAAATAAATATTCTGATGAATGTCACTTATAAATATAAACAAATATTCATCAATATTTGTGAATGTCTAAACAAATTGGTGCAGCCAATATGGAAAGCAGTATGGAAATTCCTTGGAAATATGGGAATGGAACCACCATTTGACCCAGCTATCCCTCTCTTTGGACTATACCCAAAGGACTTAAAAACAATATACTACAGGAACACAGCAACATCGATGTTTATAGCAGCACAATTCACAATAGTTAAACTGTGGAGCCAACCTAGATGCCCTTCAGTGGATGAATGGATTAAAAAATGTGGCATATATACACAATGGAATTTTACTCAGCAATAAAAGAGAATTAAATGATGGCATTTACAAGGAAATGGATGGCATTGGAGAAGATAATGCTAAGTGAAATTAGCCAATCCCCAAAAAACAAATGCCAAATGTTTTCTCTGATATAAAGATGTTGACTCATAATGGGTAGGGAACAGGGAACATGGGAGAAATAGATGAATTCTAGACAGGGAAGAAGGGAGGGAGGGAAAGGGAGAAGGCAGGGGATTAGCAAGGAAGGTGGAATGTAATGGAGATCATTATCCAAAGTACATGTATGAAGACACAAATTATGTGTCCTACTTTATATACAAACAGAGATATGAAAAATTATGGTATATATGTGTAATAAGAATTGTAATGCAAAGAAACAAGTACATGTTTAAAGTCATAAATTGGTGTGAACCTATTTTATACAAAGATATGAAAAATTGTGCTCTAAATGTATAACAAGAATTGTAATACATTCCACTATCATGTATTTTTTTAAAAATAAAATCAATAAAAAAGAAAAAATATTGAGAAAATGGAATAATTATCAGCAAAAGAAATGAAAAAAATCACTGATAAATACAAAAATAATGAGTTTGAAAAGCATTATGATATGCGAAAGAAGATTGACCTAAAAACAGTACTTTCTCTATGATTTTATATATAGAAAAGAGATACTATAATAGTAAATCTAAAGTTTATCGTCAGACATCAGATCAGTGGTTGCCTAAACTAGATATTGTTAAAAGGCATTCCCATAGAGTAATGAAATGGAAATTTTCAAAATGCATAGCTTAGATGAGGTTTTCATGATTTTGTACATTTGTCAAAAATCAATGAACTCTAGATAGGGCAGAGGGGTGGGAGGGGAAAGGAGGGGGCAGGTGGTTAGCAAGGATGCTGGAACATGATGGACATAATTATCCAAAGTACATGTATAAAGACATGAATTGTTGTGAACATTTTTTATATACAAACAGAGATATGAAAAACTGTGCTCTATATGTGTAATAAGAATTGTAATGCATTCCACTCTCATGTATTTAAAAAATAAAATCAATTAAAAATCAATGAACTATATGCTGTTAGGAGGTGCATTATGTTTAATTTCATTTCTACTCAATGTAGTTTCTTTGTTTTTAAAATGATTATTTGAAGGCCAACCCAATATTTGCCAATATATAAGGAAAATATTTCTAATTTATTATTATTCCTTGATCAACAATTATTTCTGCATCCCATCTTTGTCATTCGTTTTTATTCAAAAACGAACTTGCATAAAGGTTTCTCCATTTTTAAGTAAGGGAAAAGAGACAATTGTAAAATGCTTAAGCATTATGAATGAATCAAGTAACCTGTATAATGAATAGTAGTATAAGCCTTGTTCTGACTTAGAATAGAGGCATGCCTATGAATATTTGAATATAATTGTTGAATATATAATGATATAAAAAGCTATAAAACTTATTTTTATCACATTCAATTCAGAGTTATAAATGAGCACAGTCAATAGAGTTGAATGTTTTCTTGTATAATTATTGTCCTTTACACATCTATCACCTCTTATAATCCATGACTTTTCATACACATAACTCTATCAAGTTATCACTTTGCACTCAGTACTTCAGGATAAACAATTTAATGATTACATTTATACATCTGATAATCATCTCAGTTGTTTGTATAAATAAGTTCTGATGTGAATGAAATGCAGGCATATATTTGTAGATTTTTCTGTGTGTCGAGCTTGAAAAATAGTTGAAGTTGTATAGTTATATCAATATCTATGTATGCAAGCAGAGAAAACCTCAGGTACAGACTAGATTGTAATGCCAATCAATTACCTGAATCTGTAATGGTTGTGGCCATTATGCTCACTGATCTGTATCCAGTTGGCAGAAGTTAATCTAGGGGGAAAATGTCTAAATATCAACAAAATGTGTTTCTGGTTAGATAATAGAACCTTGGTGGAGCTGATCAATTGGCAGTCTTCCAGCTCGGAGTCTGTCTCACACCTGCTTCATCTATTTGTTTTGTGGTCTGTGGTTTACACACTGTCATATTTAGAAAAACCAAAATGTTCCAGTAACCTAATTGCCAGTGCTGATTTCTTGATTTAGTTTAAGACATTCCAGTGAATAATGCCAAAATTTCTCACATGAAGTGGAACCTTTTGCCAGGACATGCAATGCAATTAGGAATGTGCCAGTTTTTCAACAAACTGTCCTCTCTAAAGAAGCATATAGGTATTTACTCTGTTATAGCTAAACTTGATTCAATGGGTCCGTACATTAAAATTCAGCTGGTTCAAGGTAGCACCTCTGCCATCTTCCTCTTCTTTCTCTCCTCTCTCTGCTCTCTGCCTCTCCTTTTCTTCCCCTTTGGGCATCTCCCCAATAAAATCTCTTGGTTGGGAAAAATATATAGGATATATCTGGGATTGTTTTGGGGGGTGTGGAGGGTTATGTCATTTTACAAGATGTAAGAATCAAGTGAGTAAGATATTAATATTTTTCAACTAAATAATTTATTTATATTGCAAGCTAAAAGCTTCTTAAAAGCTGATGAATACCTCATTTTTAAATGCCATAATTATAAGAGTTCATGTTAGTTGTGTCTATGTTATGTTATGATATCAAATTAAAAAATAACAAATGCATTTCAAACTTGCTGTCACAACAGTTTATAATAACTTGTGTTTTCTCTTTGTATAAGTTGAATGGCTGTGTTTGAGTTCTCTAAAGATCCCAAAGAAAATAAAATTAAATATTATGGCATAATTCATTATGTTCCTGAATATAGATAGACTTGAACTTTGTGTTAATGTGAAAAATTCTCTTTCTTAAATTAGCAATAAAATTAAGGTCAAATCATTAAAAAACTTAATTCCTGAAGAGAAAGAGAAAAATACATAAAAACAGAAATGTAATTCAACAATTGCTTGTTTCTTTCACTCTTAGAATTTTGATTTATCAACATTAAGAGAGTACTTAAGAATACTAGATTTTAGTGTTGAATTCTAGAGATAAAGATGTGAATGAGACATGATAAGTGTGAGTTTAAGATGTTCCAGTTTCATCTGAGGAGTGACACATTAATGAGTGATATTCATATGGACTGGTAAATGGAATCATAATAGACTTCCATGGGGTGCTATAGTAACTTAAAAGAGGTGAAAATTTCCCAGTGCCACACAATGAAATTGTTTTAGGGGAATTTTTAAAGAATGAGAGGAAAAGAAACACAATGTAGATCATGAAAACAGCATGAGCAAATGTGAAATATTTGAAATGACAATATATACTAATAGCATGAAAACCTGTTAGTACTATGGTAAGTTGGTAAGTTTTTGTCTGGACTCTTCTGCATTTTTTAGGTGTGATTGACACAATTAAAGCCTGGGGAGTACTTATGCCCATTTTAATTTTCAAGTTTAAAACATTTATGAGAATTAACCAAAACTGTGTATATAGTGAATTGGAAACCTAGGACTCAAAGCTGTCTCTTTTTTAACAAACACATTAAACTATAACACCTACTTTCATAGTTATCCAAGATGAACATTGATTTATATACCCAGATTAAAAATTAGTATGTAAATTTATCATGAATATAGTGATATACTGGGATTTTATTTATTTTGCTGCAATCACACACACACACACACACACACACACACACACACACTATTTACTTCACTAAGCATTTATACTGCACATTTGCATTTTTGGCCTTTGGAGTACTTTGCAAAATGCAATTCTCTGAATATTAATAATCGCATGTCACACCCATTCTTTGAGTAAAGCTTTTCCTAACTTGTTCCATTTGTCTTCATTTGGCCTCTGATTATATAATCTCATTTTTTTCTCCTATTAGAGAGGCAATTCCTTCTTTCCAACCATCAAACAACAATGTCCGGAACAGTTTAGAAATCAAGGTGATCCTTGTGTTAAAAATGAAACTGACTCAGTGTTTTCTATCGAATTTCTAATTGTTCACCTGATTTAATATCCTCTGGGATGCTTTAGCATTCTGACCCAACATTTGGCTTTGTCTCAAATGACTACATTTGAGTTTAGAGAATGGGAGGAAAATTGGGAATTACTTCTCTGTGTGATACTACTTGAACTGCAACTGACTGCCTGCTGAAAGACAAGGGAAGTAGTTGTCAACAAGATTTAAAGTTACTGTCAAGTTTACACAGGCACACTGAAAAGGTTGTAGGATGAACGTGATTTTGTTGAAATTAAGTACCACCAACTACTGGACCATGGAAATGCACACTGGTTATCATTAATGTCTGACATCTGCTTCTTCTTTGAGATGTGTATGTTGTTTTTCTTGTCAGAAATAAAGTGCCTTACAGTATGATCTTCATCAATTTTCTTTAAAATAAGGCACATTTTTGTGCTTGAGAATCTAGTATCTAGCTAATAATATATTTTCTTTGCTAACTACTTTGTTTATTGAAAATTACAAAAATGTAGGCTGCAGAACAATAAAATACTGTGCTTCCTTTCAGTGTGAAATGATGCAGCTTAAAGCGGTAACATAAATTAAAAGTGTAAGCCCGTAAACAGGGCTTGGTGATGCATGCCTGTAATCCCAGTGGCTTGGGAGACTGAGTCAGGAGAATTGTGAGTTCAAAGCCAGCCTCAGCAAAAGTGAGGTGCTTAAGTAACTCAGTGAAACATGTCTCTAAATAAAATACAAAATTGGGCTGGGGATATGGCTCAGTGGTTGAGTGCCCCTGAGCTCAATCCCCGGTACAAAAAATAATAATAATTAAAAGTGTATATAAACAGATACCTCATGGGGACACATTGAAAAGGTATTTGTACATGATCTACATATGTTGGATCATTTTGGCTTCCTCTCGACATTATAATGATAGTACAAAAAGTGGTCGAAAGCAAAGGAATCATGAAAAAATAAAAAAAAAATACAGAAGTTTAATATTTCACTTAACTAATAAATTCTCACTAAATTTTAAAAATATCACAACAAATTTTAGATTCATATGTGAAAAAGGTATTTTGTTCCCTCTAACTCATAAAAGCTTACTGGACCTTTATCTCTTTTTGATAACAGTTGGCATGTATTATACAAAACCAGACCATTTCTAGTTTTCATAAATGAAACACAATGCTCAACTTCTGAAATATCTGCACCATAAACTGATTTCTAAGATAAGCAAATGATAAGAATTTCATTATAATGTTTTTTACTTTACAAATATGATCCAGGACTTACAAAGTCAGACATATTTATACATTAGTTCTTAAAATTTTTCAAGAATTTTTGAATTTCTAAGAAAAACCTTCATTTGTAAGAATCCTACATTTATTAATAAATTGTCTCTTTCATATCATTTTTTCAAACTTGTCTCCCTTTATATAACTCAGTACTATTCCCTAGTCTCTCCAACTAGATAAATACTTTTATATCTCTAGCATATAAATCATAAGTGTGTGTTAATTTTCTACACATTAGGCTTCGTTTTCCTCAAGTTTCAGATTCAGTGATTACAGGACATTTTATCACTATGAATATAACTCTATATCTGGACATCATTAACATACCCATTTTTACCACCCTCATATCAGTCAAAATAATATTATGCCTGAAATACCACAATGACTTCACAAAAATGTTGCTATGTACGAAATGTGTGCACAGTACTTTTGCCTAAGTATCTGGGATAGTACCTAGCACATAGTAGACATTCAAGTACTTTGAGAAAGTAGAATTGTAAGAAAACATTACTCTGCAATTCTATGTGTGACATAGTTTTAGAGCACTAAATATCAAATAAATTCTTGTGCCAAAGGAGACTTATAAAGGAAGTTGGAGCCTAATCCCTCATGATGGGAATTAGGGCCTACTTTTTGTTCTATTAGATGCAGGGTCTCTAGTTTTATTCCCTAAGTACTTGATCCATTTTGAGTTGAGTTTTTTGCATGGTGAGAGATAGGAGTTTAATTTCATTTTGTTGCATATGGATTTCCAGTTTTTCCAGCACTATTTGTTGAAGAGGCTCTCTTTCTCCAATGCATGTTTTTGGCAATTTTGTCTAATATAAGATAATTGTAATTTTATGGGTTAGTCTCTGTGTCCTCTATTGTGTACCATTGGTCTACCTGCAATAAATGGGATGGACTCAAACCATAAAGTTTCTTCTCAGCAAAAGAAACAATCTGTGAGGTGAATAGAGCACCTGCATCTTGAGAGCAAATCTTCACCCCTTACACATCAGATAGAGCACTAATCTGTAGTGTATATAAAGAGCTCAAAAAGCTAAACACCAAAACAAAACAAAACAAACAAACCCCCCATAAATAACCCAATCAATAAATGGGCCAAGGATCTGAAAAGACACTTCTCAGAAGATGATATACAATCAATAAACAAATATATGAAAAATGTTCATCATCAATAGTAATTAGAGAAATGCAAATCAAAACTACTCTAAAATATTATCTCACTCCAGTCAGAATGGCAGCTATTATGCATACAAACAACAATAAGTGTCTGCAAGGATGTGGGGAAAAAGGTAGACTCATACATTGCTGGTGGGACTGCAAATTGCAGCCAATATAGAAAGCAGTATGGAAATTCCTTGGAAGATTGGGAATGGAACCACCATTTGACCCAGATATCCCTCTCCTTAGTCTATACCCAAAGGATTTAAAAACAGCATACTACAGGGAAACAGCCACATCAATGTTTAGAGCAGCACAATTCACAATCACTAAATTGTGGAACCAACCTAGATGCCCTTCACTAGATGAATGGATAAAAAAAATGTGGCATATGTACACAACAGAATATTACTCAGCAATAAAAGAGAATAAAATTATGGCATTTGCAGGTAAATGGATGGAATTACAGAAGATAATGCTAAGTGAATTTATCCAATCCCAGAAAATCAAATTCTGAATGTTTTCTCTGATATAAAGAAGCTGATTTATAGTGGAGTAGGGAGAGGGAGCATGAGAGGAATAGAGGAACTCTAGATAGGGCAGAGGGGTTGGAGGGGAAGGGAGGAGGCACAGGGTAATTAATGATGGTGGAATGTGATGATCATTACTATCCAAAGTACATTTATAAAGACACAGATTTGTGTGAATATACTTTGTATACAACCAGAAATATGAAAAAATGTGCTCTCTATATATAATGAGAATTGTAATGCATTCGGCTGTCACATAAAAATTTAAAAAAATTAAATAAAATTGAAAGATATTTGAAACTTCTTTTGACTTTTTCTAGAACATACTAAGAAGCATGGATGATGTTGGAATAGTCTAATTGTGTTAGTGAATTGGCTCCCAACTCTTTTTTGATACAAACAATAGTCTTAAATGTGAGAACTGAAAGACAAATAAAAGGTAAATGATATAGATTTACTCATCAAGTACCCATAAAGAGTCCAGGTCATACTAATAAACAACTTTCTGTACACAGTAAATATACAAACTATGAAAAGATGGCCATTGCCAGCAGTTAATGAATATAGACATTGCTCAATTGTTTTAGGAAAACCAATTTTTATAGAGTTGCTAGAAAACTTTTAAAGGTTAAGGTTTAGTTATATAAAATTTTAGGCTCCAAGTCTGGATAAACACAGCAGAGACTTAACTCCAGCTGTGTAAAAATACTTCACTAAAATCAAAATTACCTGAGTCTTCTATGAAAAGCATTTGACCCCTCAATTGATATCTATCTGGCCCTAATGTACTGTCATACCTGCAACATGATCAGAACGCAGCCTGTGTGTTTTTATAATAGCAAAAGAGATAGATAGTGGCTTGATGTGTAGTTATCAAATAGCCAAAATGTTTTGAGCAAAGCATAGTTTTGACATTGTTCTTTGAGTATCTTGTATAGATAGAGAAGTTAAGAGCAGAAAGCTCTTGAACAACATTTTCCCTTCCTTTTCCTAATCAAAAGTAAATGCAAGGTATAAAATAGAGCCCAATGACAATAATGCCATTTGACTTCATCTACACTGACTACATTTCGTACCTGCTAGAATAGGTATAATAAACCAGACAGACAATAACAAGTGTTTCTGAGGAGAAGAAACTGGAAACCTAACATATTGATTGAGGGCATCTGAATTTGTGCAGCCACTGTAAAATATTTGAACAGTTTGTTTTAAATGTGTTAAATAAGGCATTAGAAGTTTAATCCTAGGTAGTTTATTAAAAATTTCCTCCTATGTACCTAACCAAGACAAAGAGATAGAAGAAAAATGGGGAAAAAAAAACAATAACAACAACATATGTACCTCAGAGTTTGAAATGTGAACATCTATAGCAGCTTTATTTATAAGAGCCAAAAATTTGAATGAAAATCATGAGATCTACCAATACAATGGATTAATACCTGAAAATAAAATAGAAGAAATTTCCAGTAAATGTCAAAGTAGACAAACTTACCTTCATGGTTTTAGGTGAAAAAAGTTAGCTTCAAAAGATCACCTATAGCTTGATGCCATATAAAATAAAATAAAATATGTAGATAAGACAAACCTTAGGGGCAGAAAGCAGAGGGTCAATGTTATGTGTGTAACTTTTTTCTCAATGTGTTCATAAGGTTATAACTAACATATTTTCATTCATAAGCTCCTGTTTTGCATGGTATACTCTAGAAAAGTGATAGAATTTAAATACATTGAATTTCTAAAACTATATCACTTTAGTATCTGATAGGAAGTTTATATGGACAAATAATAAAATAGCAAATGCTGTATGTTAAAATGGAAAGTAAAACAAATAAGCATGCTAAAATTCTAAAATGGATGATAAAACATCATTAGTAAAGATGTTATTATGAGCTACTGCTTGTAGTTCTTCAGTTTTTTGTACTTTGATTTAAATGACACTCATTTAAAATAGACAAATATGATCTCTACTTACATTTGCCAAATGAAGACATTGGGGTAGAATGACATTATGACTTCAAGAAATTATCTGTAAAATAATGTATATTTGTTTTTTTAAATTACAGAAAACATACACACAATACCATATGCTCTATGGAATTCTTCAGTTTTCAGAAAAATAATAAGTTTATCTATTATTAGTATTTATTATTATTAGCTAATATTATTATTACTCTTAATGGTGCTTAAAAATAATTAAGTGTTCAACAGTGTTGTGAAATGTAACAAATATAATGAGATCATAATCACTGATCTTGAGAGTCAAGAAAGTTTTGAGAAAAATTACTATATTTCCCACCTAAATATCAGCTATTCTTAGGATTTCCATTATTCTTTATCCATTTTTTTCATATTCAATGACAATTATTTCATATTTTATTTATTAAAAATAGAACATGATGTAAAATGATAAAGTTGATAGGACAGCAGTTAAAATAAGGTTTTGTGCCTGTGCATGGTGTTGCATGCCTATAATCTCTGCATCTCAGGAGCCTGAGGCAGGAGGATCGCAAGTTCAAAGCCAGTCTCAGCAATTTAGCAAGGCCCTAAGTAATTCAGAGAGACCCTGTCTCTAAATAAAATATTAAAAATGACTGGGGAAGTGGCTTCAGGGTTTAGTGCCCCTGGCTTCAATCCCTGGTACCCCCCCAAAAAATGGTTTTGCTCATTCTGTGATGATAATTAATAAATAATTTTGAGTTGTTTAATTTCACTGAAAAAAATTAGCAAATCTCTACTGTGAGGTGTTTTTTAGAGCAAGTGATTTTGAGAGAATCTGAGTTGCTGAAAGATTGGAAACTTAGTTGGCATGCACTGTGTTAAACAGTACTTTAAATTTTTTTTGAAAAAGAAACAACATAGTACTGAGAAATAATATTTCTGATATTAATTGTTGTCTAATGAAATAAGATTAACAGAAAACATATGAACCTTCATATCCTGATGAAATGATCAGAAACTGGTGGGGCTGTTTGGGGATACAAACTGAAGGGAACAAAAAGCATAAAGTATTTCATCTTTCTTATCATCCATATTATATTTTTGACTTTGCCTTTTTAACTACTGCAAGTTTAAAAGAAATAATATAGCAAAATATAAAAATGATCCTATTTGGGGAGTTACACAAATACTACTTTCTGCTACCAGCAGTTTATACATAGAAATAATAATTGGCAGATACAGAAGTAGTTTTCACTATATCTTAATTTGTTTATTAGGAAACAATTTAAAAAGTTCAAGACTTATTCTGCCATTACCACATGCCTTTCCATGTACTATTCCTAGCATGGTTTTTATCATGACAGAGATTATTTTAGCATTTTTTAAACTTCAATATAGTACTTATTGCACATCTATCTATCACATCATTTACTTAATAACATTTAATGAGTTTCTTTTATAAAATTAAAAATATACTAGACACCTTTAAACAAAGAGTGATCGTGGTATCAAGGTGATTATTAAATCAGATTTACATAGAAATGGAAAATATCATGCTAAGTGAAGTAAGCCTGACACAGAAAATCAAGGGTCAAATGTTTTCTCCCAAATAAGGAAACTAGAGAAAAATAAGAAGAAAAAGGGGTGGGAAATCAAATTTCATAAAGATACAGGGAAGATCAGTGGAGTAGAAGAAGGAAATCAAGAGGTAGTGGGAAGGAAAGGGGAGGAAATATGGAAAGAATTTAACCAAATGATGTCATGTGTATATATAAATATACCACAGAGAATTCCATCTTTATGTATGAGAAGAAGAACTAATTAAAAATAAATAAATGAACGAGTAAAAGGAAGATCAGTAGATTAGAGAGAGGAGTACAGAGGAATAGAGGGGAGGAGGGAAATGCGAGGACTGAAATGGAGAAAATCAAATTCCATGAATGTATGACTTTGTCAAAATGAACCCAACTACTATCTATGTATAACTTTAATGCTCTAATAAAAAATGTAAAAATAAATAAGATTTTTAAAAAGATTAAGAGAAAGATAATTGAAATGCTATTTATAAAATTCCTAATGTAAGCCAACCACTATTTTAGACAGAACTGTGCGGTCTCTTTTTATGAATTGCACCCAAACATAAAATAAAAGTAAGTTCATTTCTTTAGGAATAACGTTGATATATGAGAGATACAAGATGAGAAAGAGGGCTTTATTCATACTGTCATAATTAACAATTAATTTGAAGTTACCTCAGTTGGAAAACATTGTAATAAATTGGATCAAAAATCTGTGGAAATATTTTGTGAGTTCATGTAAAAAAATCATGGTGCAAATGTTTTCCTTAATTAATTTTAAAACAAATACAAGAATACAACTTTAAGAAATTCATTTATTTCTCTTGGTTGTATAATTTTCTACAGATACTTTGTAACATGTTCATTTTAAATTTTCTTTTCATGTTCACCTTTTTCTTATATTATCATCACAGTACATAAGTTCAATAATTTCACCTTCATGTTTCTATTTTCCTATAATTCCATACTAGCAATTTATTTCATATGCTTAGTGAATTTTTTTTGAAATTTTACTTTCAACCTCACTTTGCTTATATATTTAAAGTGTGCTTGACATATATAGCACAGAATAATCTTGATTTTCATACTTGATGACAATCTCTAACTTTTACATGGAATATTTAGTCCAGCTGCATTAAGTAGTATTGAGACAGCCACATTAACTGTATCATCTTGTTACCTGTTCTCCATAGAGTTCATCTTTATTTACCTTTTCCTCTTTTTTTCCTGTGTAACTTTGGGTACAGTACCTTACAGATTTTGTATTCTATTTCATTTTAACCATTAAATTTTTCTCTATCACTTTTTACTACCTGTTTAAGAGGTTATAACATAAAAGCTTAAGGTATCACAATTTATCTTTAAATACTATTCTACTCTACAATGTAAAAAAATATGATAATTTAATTCTTGGGCTGGGGACATAGCTCAGTTGGTAGAGTACTTGCCTCACATGCATAAGTCCCTGGGTTCAATCCACAGCACCACAAAAAAATAATAAAATAATAATAATATAATTATTTTTAATCTCTTCCATAGCTTATATCCTTATTTTTAAAAAAATTACATGTACCCAAACCCAAATTTACATTATTATTTTGTATTTTAAACAATTAATCTCTAAGGCAAAATGTGTGTTTAATGTGTATACACATTATAATAAGTTAAAAAGACAATAAAATATACTGACTCAAATACTTGGACCTTTACTATGCTCTTCTTTCCTTCTTTTAGACCTTCCTTTGATCTGGAATGTTTCTCTTAACCAAATTACTATTGTCTGTTCTTATATTGTGTATGTATTAAAAATGATGACTGTTAACTTTTGTCTGGTAGAAAATGTCTTTATTGTGTTTTTGTTCCTATAGGATACTTTTTTCTGGGTGTAGAATTTTAGTGGGGGAGTTTGGTTTTAGAGAGATTCCATTTTCTGGAATAGATTATGTAATGTTGATGTTAATATTTGTTTAAATATTTTGTACAATTCTCCAGTAGAAGTATGTGGATATGAAGATTTATTTAGATAAGTTTCAAATTATAAGTTATAAACCAAATATTCTCAATGATTATGATACTATTCAAGTACTCATCTTGGTTGAGTTTTGGTAATTTACGGTATTTGAGGAATTGGTCCATTTATTCTGAGTTTTAATAAACAGACAATCAAAAATCAGACTTCCCTTTTGTTTATTTTTAACATGTGTATAGGTTCTCCTATTGTATTCCTCATCTGGAAGATTTGTGTCTTTTTTTTATTTTTCAGTCGTATTAAACACTCTAAATTCATTAATTGTGCTTTATTAAGAATCTGTTTTTTTGGTTTCAAGTTTTGTGCTTTTATCCATTTGTTTGTATTTGCATTGGACTTATGCTGCCCTTCTTTTTATAGTTTCTTAAAGGATGAAAATTAGATTTTCATCTAACTGGTTTGATAGCTACCTATTTTCTAATGTAAGTGTTTACTGCCAAAAATGACCCTCTTGTCATTGCTTTAGCTTCACTCCCAAAAGTTTGATATGTAATGTTTCATTAGAATCTGATCTTGGCACTTTATATTTGTCTTCCTGGACCAATGAATTATTAAGCAGTCTGTTATTTAATTACCAAGTGATGCAAGCATTGTCTGTTATCTTTGTGTTATTGATATATAGTTTGGTTTCATTAAAATAAGAAAACATATATGCTATGGTTTAAATTCTTTTAAGCCTGTTGAGATTTTTCTTATAACCTACCGTGGGATGCCATCCATCCAATTGAATGTTCATGAGTACTTGAAAAACGTTTATTCTGTTGTTTGATAGAGTGGTCTATATACATTACAGAGGTCATTTTAGTTTACTGTATTCCTCAGAGCTTCTGTGTCCTTTCTCGTTTTCTATGTATTAGCTGCATCAGACCATCAATGGATTTGTGATGAAGTGTTGAAGACTCCAACTGCGGTTGCTAATGGTGTCTTTATGTTTTTATTTCTATCAACATTTACTTTATGTATGTTGAGTTTCTGTTGCTGACTATACCCACATTTATTATTATATTTTTCTTTTATTGATTATTCATCACTAAGTTATGTTCCCCTTATCTTCAGTAATCTTTGCTTTAAAGTTTATTAAAATATTTTTATTGCCACCTCTCTAATAATTAAATATAATTTTTTATTTGTTATATCTGTTTTCTAGTCTTCATTTTCCATCTACCAATAACATTTCATTTTAAGTGTACTTCTTATAAACAGCAGGATCCTATTTTCATCCACTCTCAATAATTTCTAATTGGTGCTTTTAAACCATTTTCATTAAAGGTAGTTATTGCTGTATCAGGGGTTAATTTTTCATTATATCTTATTTTTTTCATTTATTTTGTTTCCCTTACCTTATCTTCTTGTATATCATTTGTCATTTTTTTTTCAAACTAGGACTTTGCCTTGCTTTATTTATAGTGTATTTTAGGTATATAGCTTTGCATAGTTTTTTTTTTTTTTTTTTTTTTTTTTTTTTTTTTTTTACTTGTGACTTATGTTTGTAGATGGGCATAATTTCTGGGTTTTTGTTTTATTTTGTTTTATGTTTGGTTTTTGGGGATTGAACTAAGAGGCACCCGACTACTGAGCCACAACCCCAGCCCTATTTTGTAGTTTTTAGAGACAAAATAGTTTTTAGAGACAGGGTCTCACTGAGTTGCTTAGTGACTTGATTTTGCTGAGGCTTGCTTTGAATTCTCCACCTCAGCTTCCCAAGCTTCTAGGATTACAGGTATGTGCCACCATGCCCGGCTCTCTTATTTATTTATTTTTATGTGGTGCTGTGGTTTGAACCCAGTGCTTCATAAATGCTAAGTGCTCTACCACTTAGCTACAACCATGTGATAATTCATTTTCTTATCATTCTTGAAAAATATTAGTCCTACTGAATATATAATTTATGATAGATATTTTTTGTCTTTCTGTACTTGAAAAAATATATCACTTTCTTTGGCTTACATGGTTTCAAAAGTCACTCACATTCAAATTGTTTCTCTTTTAAATGTAGTATAATTTCTGTCTGGTTACTTTTAAGGTTTTGACTTTGCTTGCAGCCCTAGGACATTAAATTATGATATAACTTACAGGTTATGATGTGTCTTATATGCTATTTCTTTTGGTTGCCTTATTAAGATTTACTCAGTATCTGTATTCTGGTACTTCATATTTTTTGCAATATTTGAGAGGTTTTAAAAACGCAATTATTTCTTAAAATATTCTTTCAGTTCCACTCTTCCCTTGGTTTCCCTAATATAAATGTCTGATTTTCTTTCATTGTTCCCAGATCCTTGAGACTGTGTTGCTTTTATTTCTTTTTTTCAGCTTATTTTCTTTGTTTTTCAGACTGGATAAACATTTGTTTTTCTTTAGTTCAGTGATTCTATCCTCTATTTTCTCCACACTATTCTTGAGACAATCCATCAAGTTTGTTCAAATTTTTGTTAATGTTGTTTTCAGTTATATAATTTTATTTTTAGTTATATGATTTCAGTTATATAATTTGTCTCTGGTGAATTTTTCAACTTATAATAGTCTATTGAATCATGTTTAGGTGGCTAATTTAAAATCTTTGTCAGATAATTCCAACATTGATTTATCCTGTTGTTGGCAAAAGTTGATTGCTCTTTCTTATTTAAATTTTGATTCTTCTGATCATTAGTATAGGTGATATTTTTGTTGTATCCTAGATCCTAAATATTTTTATCTATTATGCTGGGAGATTTTACATTTATATAAAGCATTTCTTGAGCCAGACAGCACAATTTTTAGGGCTTGGCCATTTTGTTGGCTATTGTTCCAATCATAATGTCACTAAGTTTTGTGTGTGTGTGTGTGTGTATGTGTGTGTGTTTGGCCAGGTACTGGGATTGAACTCAGGGGCACTCAACCACTGAGCCACATCCTCAGCCCTATTTTGTATTTTATTTAGAGACAGGGCCTCACTGAGCTGCTTAGTGCCTAGCCTTTGCTGAGCATGACTTTGAACTCCTGATCTTCCTACCTGAGTCTCCTGAGCCACTGGGATTGCACTGTGCCACTAAGCTTTATTAGGCATTATTTTCTGCTTTGTGTATTTCAGGCCAGAGGACTTTTTATTTTCCTTGCAGTATTGCTGGAGGAAATGAAAAACATTTCACCAGGCTGTGCTGCTAATAATCCTTGGTCGAAGAATGAAATCTCCACCCTTGGGGACAGGGAGTACTTCATATGTATGGAATCATTGTAGCAAAATCCCCCTCATGGGTGTTACTGAGCCTTGTGTCTCTGAATTATGAAAGGAAATATGAGACCTCATAAGAAAGGAGAATGACCCTCCAAGTGACCCTATTTTAGTATATTTTTTGATTCATCTTTTCAATTCTTCCTGGCCTATTTGGTATTGTCAAATGGACTCTTATTTGATCCTGAGTGGTATTAAGGGGACACGGGAAGAAACTACATATTTTCCTTTGGTAGATGTTTGTTAGATGAGTATAGGAACATCAAATCCTGTGTGATTTTTCTGTTGGGTGGGAGTTATAAGAAACCCACGTTGTTGCATTTTTCCAGATCTAGAATGATCTGCATCTTTCTGTCTACTATTTTCATGTTTGTATTTTCTTGTTCATTTACCAAGTTTATGGGTGTACTTCAAAAGGGGAAGTGGGGAGATATAAGGATCAGAAGTCTCCATTTTTGAGCCTATATTTTATGCCAAACATTACAATCTAGTAGTAAATAAAAACAAAAAATGTGATTATATTAAGGTTTGATACTTTCTGAGATAGATTTTCAGAACTCAAACACCTAATATACTAAATTTTGACTAAGTCCAGACATTATAGAATAAATAACCTTAAAGCAAGAACTAAAGTCATAGAGTTGGTCAGGTACAATAGGGAGCAACAGAATGCACCAAACAGTGGGACTATCACACAAAAAAGCTTGGAAGTAGTAATGCAAGGTGGGTAAAAGAAATGTAATTAGCAAGTTTAATATTAAGTATATATCAATTAAAATAAATTTAATTCTAAAAAAATCAATGTAGTTAGTAGTATGAAGAGGATAGTGGTGGGAACAAATTCTACTTCTTAGAGTACTATGAAAGTAGGAAAGATTTTCATAAAAGGAATAATAGATATTTTGCAAAAATCATTTTGAAAGTCACATCAACTACTGCAACAGGTGAAAAGAGAGGTGGACAGATACAGATAATAATAGCATTTTGTTTTGTATCAGAAATCTTAGATCTAAATGGGTAGTAAGGAGTATTCAGTTATTTTGAAATACTGCTCACCAAAATCTTCATCATGAGAGACTACTTCTACTAAGCCAGGATACACTGAATATCATCAGCATTTCACTCACTGTTCCCTGCCTATAGTCCAGAAGCAAACACCCTCCAGGCACAAATCTTCTTCATGGCAGACAATCCAGAGCTGGTGTTGGGTATGGTGTCTTGGAGTCAGCTTAGTGATCAACAGTACCACCATTCTAAATACACAGCCAAGCATTTAATTTAAACAGAATTGGTCCCTCTTACATTACATTTGATTATGAATATTAATGGGCCTAAAAATAGCATTTTTCCCCAAGTAAAAATGTTAAGACCAGTCAAATAACACTAAGAACAAAATATTGAATATTCAGCAGGCTAACCATCTAATAATGCTGTCTAGGCCATATTCTGTCTTTTATTTATATAGTCCATGACTAGAGTTTTAAATTTCAGGGCAAAGAACCACTTTTATGCTCTTTGGAATTAATTGGCCATTAAGGAGGTTACAGATACAGCAGTTTCTGCTGAAGCAGGGTGGATCAAATCCAATCTATGTTTGTTTAATGAACACTATACACGGTGTCACACCACTTGATTTTTCAACTATATCAAGAATGGAATCTACAATTTATTACATGCTTTGAGTAGAAATGTGGCAAGAAAGAAGAGAAACAAAGGGATAAAATTGATATAAGGGAAATATACTTCATGGCTACTCACTATTTTTATTAGTGTGTTAGATAATATATATATATATATATATATATATATATATATATATATATATATTGCAGAAATTAACTCTTACACAAAACAAGTACACCTAATTCAAAGAGAAACAAATATGTTTAGATCAATGAGCTATTAATACACAGTATGTGATTTGAATCTGCAATCTAATCTAACTTTTAAATTCATACATTTATCATAGCATGTGTTCATATAAATAAATTTACTATACAAAAATCACCCCATGTATATGTGTGTGTGTTTCAGATTTTAAAGGAGACTGAATATATAGTAGCTTTTATAATATATTTTCAGAAGCATCCTCTAGACAGAACTAATTTGAATTATAAGTCAATCTATCTTCTAGAATAAATAAGATTAGAGGAAAGGGATTAATCAAAACTCACTATTTATATTTATCATTTATTTCTCCCTGTATTTTATAAATTAAGATAATGGACATATTTATTGCTGGAAATGGAATTATAAGGTGAAAGATAACAGTTATCACTATATATGAAAAATATAATATATTATCCCACTTCTGTGAAATGTGACATACAATAGAAATCTTGAGAAGAGATAGATCCATGTACATCACAGAGGAGGTGATGCTTACATTGTATCCTTAAGATAGTGAAAAACAGGAAAATGACCACAAGACCTGGATCCCAATTAGCATAAGATATACTTGTTTGTATGTCGAAATATACTTTACTTTTATCTATATCTAAAAACCCAAATAATAAAAAAGAAATAGGCAAATGAAAATTAAAAAAAAAACATATATCTGGAGTAATAATAGGGGTAGAAATGCATGAGAGTAGTTGGAATGGATAAACAACTGCCAGAAAACTACAAACTAAGGTTTATGATAGACTCTTCTTCTCTTCCTTCTATATCCATTCATTTCATTGTTTTGGGGCTCAGCTTGAGTCCAAAGTTCTAATTTAACATTTGCTGGGATTGCAATTTGGGGCTTTGCTGACAGACAGACTATACTAGGGCTCCCCCTACCCCTTTATTAGGACATTTTCATATTGTATCTATGTTTGGCAATAAAACTGCTGAATAATATGTTTGAATTATTTTTGTCTGTATGTCATCTAATTATCTATGATCCATAGATACTTTACTTGTCTTGTCTTGTTCTTCTCCATACAAATCTTCACAACTGGAGTTCATGACTGGAAACTTTTCCTGGTAACTACAGGTCTACCTGCTAAAGATGCTCTCAAATGCTGGATAACACAATGGAACTATTCAAGAGTCATTTAATTGTTCCTTTTCAAATCACCTGGTTTTGCCTGCCTGTCATATTGTATAGGCACAAACACTACTTCATTGTCTATTATATTTTACCATATCAATTAATACTACTAACTTCAGACATATCTCAAGAAAAGCAATTTTACCTGCTGATACAGAACCTGAATACATACAACTTAAAAGGTGAAATCAAATTTTCCTTCAACACCTTTTTTACAGTAAAATTCTAAGTTAAGAATTAGTTTTCTTATTTTGCAGACTCAAAAAAACATGAAGAAACAGATTATCACAAGACAAAAATACTTTAAATATTTATGTTTCTATAATCTGGATTAATTTCACTCTATGACTCTTCCATGAAGCTACAGATGAATCTCCTCTTTGCCACATCTCACTCATCTCAGTGAAAAAAATATAGTGCTTTTGTCTGTTCGGTTTTCTATTTTTCATTTAGACCAGTTATTATTCAGGTGATCTAAAGTACTAATGTTGTTAGAATAAAAAATACTGTACACACAAGTTAGACACATGATAGATTTGTCTGGTAAATTATGCAGAATGGATAACTGGTGGTGTGCTGGAGCTGATTTACATCAGCTGTGGAGAACCATTTTTTAACATCTCTTCCCAAGTTGCCATTTATTGGCATTTCAAGGGTATCTTGAAATAGGTTATAGTAACATTATTCACACAGCAGATATTGGCAATGGTGGCCTTTTCCTTTCACAAAAGTGATCATTAAAAATTTCCAAGTATCCTAATATATTAGTATATGTGTATTTATTTTCTGCTTCACACACTTCTGTCTCTCTCAGAAGCTCCAATATGAAAGTCCTATTATGATAAATGTAAATAACAATTGAGAGTTATGTAGCAGATACCAAGATAACAATAAAAGCCTAGAATATAGTGGGGTAAAAGAAAAGGGAGAAAAACAATGCAAGTAAGAGATGATCTAAATAAAGAATTTATGAAATTACTAACTTTCTGAAGTTTAGGAACATTATAAGGAGTCAAAAGACAGAGATTATTTATGTTAGTTCTAATGGTAAATAGTCTATGAACTATTAATATGTTAAATACTCTTCTTACAGGTATAATTCTTTGTAGGAGCTATATTGGATTCTCCTATGTTCAGAAGAGAGTTTACATTAAGACCAGTGCATACTTTGATGGCAGAATAGCAGTGTCCTTAGAACAGACAAGAGAGGCTGTGGTGTGAGTCCCAACAAGGCCACACATTTTGCAAACACATGAAAATATGCATATGTAGATGGCTGCTGCATACGGGGGTTGCTGAAGTGCTGAGCTTGGTGCTCAGAACAGCGGCTTTAATAGAGATTTCGCACAGTCTGTTAGAGCTCCTTTCACCATTAATCTGTAGCGGACCACCTTGCCAAGCAGCAGGAAGAACAAAGAGATCGAAGAAGAAACACTTGGCTCCAGGAGGCTTGGCTGCTCAGAGCCGCAGGCACTTTGCTCCCGTCTGCTTCCTCTTTCGCTTCGCTCCGGGCAGAGAAGCTGAGTGTGTAATCAGCAGTGGATTGTAAGTACCCGAGGCAAAGAAAGCTCAGTGCGCCCCGCCTTTTTTTCTTTTCTTTTTTTTTTTTTTGAATATTTTTTATACAGGGAGAGTTTGTGGATTGGGATTGTTGGCGGGGCTGTGGTTTCTGTGCCGAAAATCCACTCCTCGGGAGCCGCCATTTGCTTTCTGCTTGCTGTCTTGATGGCTCCGTATACATTGTCCGGCAGCCGCACCTAGAGGTTGGAGCTGGGCTGCGTGCCGAGCCCTGTCCTCTGAAGGCTGGACTGCAGCCTCGAGCGCCTCGGTGGCCTGTTTGCCGCTGCACCTTCGGGCAGAGCCTGCTCTGGGGTCGTTCTGCACCCCCCTGCCAGGGGACCCATGCTCCGGAGGAGGGGGACGGAAAGCCGCCGCGGCAGCCGCTTGGGCCCCAGGGGCCGGGCACCGGGCTGAAGAGCTGCGGAGGCCAGGGCGGCTCTGCTACGGTCGCACACGAGCGCAGCGCCCGTGAGCGTGGCCCAGAGACGGAGGCGACGGCGGCAGGGTTTCATTCCTAGAAATCTGGACTGGAAAAAGAAGCAGCAGTTTGTATAATCCCAAGAACTTGCTTATGCCAGGAAGCTGTAAGGGCAACATGAATATTACTGAGGAGATCTAACATGGTGGCAGGCGCAGAGAGATCAAGTCTCTGACATCTTCAACTGCGCGGGCATAGGGAGCCGTAAACTGTCTAAATGCTGTTTGCTCAGGATCACTAGGCAATGCTGAGCTGACGTGGATCTGGGGTGTACAGGCTGGGCCCCTCAGAGCACACACACAGAGCCCGAATCGGAGGCAATTAAGCTCCGGTTCGCCTGCTTCGTGTGACTCAGCACTAACGATCCCACTGAAATAATTGGTCGGCCCTTAGGAACTTACAGAGATAAAAGCCAACCGAGCCTTCATAGGCAGTGGCCACAGGACTGAAACGGGGATTGGGAGAGACAGTCAGGACCCACCCGTTGCATTGGTCACCCGGCAAAGGGAACGAATGGTCACCATTTGCATGGGAAACCACCATGGCAGAGAAATGGCGTCACGGGTGGAGGAGATAACTGCATTGAAACCAGCGCGACAGGTGTGTAATCCCCTAGCCATCTCTCTCCACACAGCGGGGAAACCTTAAGGGCCACTCCCAGCTCTCCTGTGAACGCAATAACCAGACCCAGGGAATCAGGAGTGGCGCGGGACTCGCGGCGCGGAACTCCCGGCTACCGCTCCCACCAGTGCTGACAACTGAGGGCTCTTGCACCAGCTACTGGGGGTGTGGCTACAGGAGGGCAAGCAAATTCGCTGGGGGATCTCAGCCCCAAGCTCTACAAACTTAGGGTCTGAGGGAGGCAAACAGGGAGAGTGAGCCCAGGTGTTCATGAAAACAGGGCTCCCAGGAGCAGCAGACCTGGCGTGTAGACAGTATTGTGGTGAGCGCCACAGGTGAGCACGGCCTGGCTTGAGGAAACACAAGACAAGGCCCTAGACACTCAAGATTGGAGACCCGCCCAGTCTAGGAGAAAGAGCCGCAGCACAGTGAATGGTTCCCACCTACTGAGAGGAGAAACTTGGCCCAGTGGGCACAGCTCCACCTACTGGAAGAGAAGTTAATAGAACTCTAGGACTGCATTTATTATTATTATTATTATTATTATTATTATTATTATTATTATTATCATTTTTTTCTTTTTCTTTTTTTTTCTTTTTTCCTTCTTTTTCTTTCATTTTCAATTTTTATTTCTTGATGTTCTTTTACTTTTTTTCAATGTTTCTATTTTTTTAATTTTTTTATTTTATTATTATTATTTTTTTTTAAATTTTAATTTTCATTTCTTAATTATCATAATTATTTTTGTTAAATTTTTTTTTCTCGTCTTTTCTTTCTTTCTTTATTATCTAATCTTTGTTATTTTTGTTTCTTTTGTCTTTTCATTTCTTTTCAATTTTCTTATTCCCCCTTCCTTGAATTCTACCTGCCTACTCTCACTCTCTTTAGTGACTTCTTCCCTTCCCTTCTAATATCTTTCCTCCCAAGCATCAAATAAATCTATAAGAGTAAACAGTAACTCAGCAGTCAAACAGAACAAGAAGTAACATGAGCAGCATAAAAAAGCAAGGAAGAAAAGGAGTACAAACA